TTTCCTCGCCTGTGCCCAGGCTGCCCTGAGCTGAGCCTGCCTCTGCCTGCACCTGGGGACCGCTCGGCGCCGCCTCCGGACGCCCACACCCACCTGTGCCCTGGGCAGGTCTGCTTCCCGCCAACCGGCCCCATGGAGGGGGTGCCCTGCTTTGTGCTGAAGGCCTTGGCTGGGGCCCTGGTGACACAGAAGGGCCAGATGCTGGGCTAAAACACTGACCCCCCCCCTTTTTTTGTTATTGTTGTTTTTTAAAAATATATATTTTTATTGATTTCAGAGAGGAAGGGGGGGAGAGAAACATCAATAATGAGAGAGAATCATTCATCGGCTGCCTCCTGCACACCCCACACTGGGGACTGAGCCCCCAACCCAGGCATGTGACCTTGACTGGAATCGAACCCAGGACCTCGAGGTCCCTGGGATGATGCTCAATCCACTGAGCCACCACAGCCGGGCAACACTGAACCCCCCTTTGTAAAGAAAGAATTCTCTGGCCCAGCCAGTACTTCTCCCTCCCGCCCTGGCCGGCCCAGGGCTGGCTCCCAAACCACTTTTCCTCGCCTGTGCCCAGGCTGCCCTGAGCTGAGCCTGCCTCTGCCTGCACCTGGGGACCGCTCGGTGCCGCCTCCGGACGCCCACACCCACCTGTGCCCTGGGCAGGTCTGCTTCCCGCCAACTGGCCCCACGGAGGGGGCGCCCTGCTTTGTGCGGAAGGTCTTGGCTGGGGCCCTGGTGACCCAGAAGGGCCAGATGCTGGGCTAAAACACTGAACCCCCCCTTTTTTTGTTATTGTTGTTGTTGTTTTTAAACATATTTTTATTGATTTCAGAGAGGAAGGGAGAGGGGGAGAGAGAAACATCAATAATGAGAGAGAATCATTCATCGGCTGCCTCCTGCACACCCCACACTGGGGATTGAGCCCCCAACCCAGGCATGTGACCTTGACTGGAATTGAACCCAGGACCTCATTCTGCAGGCTGGTGCTCTAGCCACTGAGCCAAACCAGCTAGAGCCCTAACTTTTTATAATGGTTATATAGCTCAGAACATTTTCTCATGAAAGGAAATATAATGTGTTCCAGATGAAAAATATAGGTTGTGCAACTTCCTTTGAAGGCATTGGCCAAAATGGTGTGATCGATTCCCTGTCAGGGCACCTACCTAGGTTTTGGGTTTGATCGCCCCTCAGTGCGCCTACGGGAGGCAACTGATAGATGTTTCTCTCTCACATAGATGTCCCCCTCTCTCCCTTTCTCTCTCTAAAGTCAATGAAAACCATAATCTCAGATGAAGATTTTTAAAAAAGAGAGAGATCTGGGGTCTAACAGGCGATGTCTGATAGAATTGTACCCCTGAAACTTGTATAATTTCATTAGCCAATGTCACCTCAATAAATTCAATTTTAAAAAGATCTGGGCTCAAGCTGACCCTGTGGATGACCTGGGTCTGAGGTTGGGCCTCACATAGATGTCCCCCTCTCTCCCTTTCTCTTTCTAAAGTCAATGAAAAACATAATCTCAGATGAAGATTTAAAAAAAGAGAGAGAGATCTGGGGTCTAATAGGTGATGTCTGATAGAATTGTACCACTGAAACCTAAATTTCATTAGCCAATGTCACCTCG